TTTTTCTACTGACATCTATTTTCTATAATCGACATCTTTGATTGTACATAATCGACTGTGACCGACAATTATTTTTTGTCTAACTAGACACCTTTGTTCATTGAAAGGCTATCCAAAACAGGCACCATCATTTTTAAAAAAGGTTGAATCCCTGTCTTAATGGTCCCCCACCGCCCCTGCCCTGGAGTATCGTGAGGGAGGTAAATCGCAAGTTATGGATTTCGTTTCTCTCTAAATTTTTCTTTTGCTTTGTTGGTGTCTGATATCAAGGAATACCTCTTAGCCACTTAAAAATGATTGAAATAGCATAATTATGAGGCCTAAAATCGCAATGTAAGGTTGAAACATGGGACTCATTTAGTAAGGATAGCTAATTGCCGTTATATGAAAACATAGTCATGAATCAGCTGAAGAAATGTTCCATAGGGAAGTCAACTCATTTATAGTAGTCAACTAGAAGTGGACAAGTTTCACCTTTGACGCCGCACCATCATATCCATCAGGGGCGGATCCAGACTTTCACTACTGTAAGGTCAAAAATCTAAATATAATTTTTTTTTTAAAAAAACAACAACATAATATTAATAGAAATAAGTTAATCCATATTTTGATACTTTGAAAATATCGTATAATTACATCATTATCAATATTATTAAATAAATTTTGCTATTTGTATAGTTTTGTTTACCATTTCGTAAATGAATTTAAATAAATTTTAAGTTTAATCTAGAAAGTAAATGAAATTCAAATTTAAAGAAAATGTAATTCCAAAGTAATTTAAATTACATTTAATCCGTAAGATCCTAAAAATTTTTATGTCATATTCCATATAAATTTTCCCAATAAAATGACATAAATTATATTGAAAAATTTATCGTGCAAAAATAATAAACGTTAATGAAATAATTGAATTTTTTAAAAAGAAAAGACGAGTTAGACGTTTTTTTGAGACATACGTTTAACGCATATTTAACTATTTTCGATATTTGTTTGGACTATTCGATATGACAACGATATAGTTTTCTAAATAAGCTTTTATATGATATAGACGATTTGTGGATTCAAAATTTTACAAGTTAGGATATTATCAAAATTCTCAAAATACTAGTTTCAAATGGTCTACTTTGACACAGCGTAACTTTTGATATAATTGACGACTTTGCACACCATTAATAAGCGAAAAATTAGGTCATGAACACTTCAAAATGGAATTAAAAATGTAACATTTCGACTTCATTTGACCACCGTAACGAGTGTATCAAAAGTATATCATAAAGAGTTGTAAAAAATTAAATAAATAAATAAACTGACAAAATTCTGTGGGGTCATTTGATCCCACATGACCCATGTGGATCCGCCCATGATATCCATCAATAAAGAGAAAGCATGATTGCTTAGGCTACAAGTTATGATGACTAGATCACAGGCTACGACCTAGGTGTCATGATGGTTAGACTTGGTTGAAGTCCTCAAACAATTAAATGATCAAATCTCTTCAAGCGGGGCAATGGTACACGTATCGATGTCAATATTGTAACTAGACAATACAGAGGGCGATAAGTTCCTATTGAAATGCCCATCAAACTCGATCGTATCAAGATCCGGCAATTCTGTAAAAATCAAGAGTAATTGACCCATTTTAAGTTTTCACATTTTTTCCACTAAACTTTAGAAAACGCGGTTATTTATGTAAAGAGTATAGAACACTTATAAGATTTAATTGGGCCAATTGTGTACGGTCTAAACATACTTTGTTCATACATAGTTCATTATTGCATAAACTTTCCAAGTGCTCCTTAAATTGGAAAGAATTGGCATAGAACTGCATTCTTCCCTTCCCTTCCCTTCTCCTGCAAACACTTTTTGTCTTTTTCCCCTTCAATATATCTTGTCCCACAATTACCCAAACCACCTGGACCCTAGGCCCAATGTGAATTAGAACACTTGGCCACACTTTATAATTGGAAAAACCTTAGCCTAATCGTCATCATTAAAAAATTTAAGTTATTAGCTACGGGATCATCCTTTATTACACATTCACACTATAAAACATTTTACACACAAACTAATAAAATTTCTATACTTTTTAACCACGCATTTTCCAAAAAATACTATTTAATAACCCATTATTCCCAAATAAATTCTGTCAAACATGCTCTTAGCTATTATTCTTGATAAATGACCTTCTCTGGGCCATTCTTGCTTGGAATGAAGTTTTCACATATTCGCTATTCAACAACTTGTTGACTTTTGATTCGACAGTGAATGATCATCGATTTTTTTTTCTTTGCAAACAATACATATAAAGGGATCTATCAATAGTCAAATAACCAGTAAACCTTTGATTTTGAGAACCAATTTTATAAAAATTTGTTTCTTTTTTATTTCTCACTTATTAGTCCCCACATTGAGATCGTTGTTTCAATTCTCGCATGTACCGTTATAACATGTGCAGTTTTGTTCAATTCAATATACCAAAAAATGTTATTACAAACCCACAAAGGCTACATACATAAAAAGAGTGAAAATTAAGCTATCAAGTAGCTTCATGGGACATTTCCCTCAAGACAACTCACAAGTTCAAGATCCATATGTTCTTAACCGTTGAATTTTGAATTGACAGGTAAGTCACACGAAAAAGTAATGGAAGTTGCTTGTCAACTAGGATATATAATGTGTATGTGGTATATTCTTAAGCACCTAACATAACAAGC